CTGGCCACAACGTCCCAAGAGACGGTGCTCATGTCTATGTCGCTGCGAAGCCGGTAGACATCTACGGCACTTCACAAGATGCTGGCAGCAACTTCTCATCTCCTTGGTACACAGCGTACTGCCAACGGGCCCTCTGACCGTTTTCCACCTGAAACCAACGGCCACACCTCGGCACACGTCCAAGCGACCAGCCGTAACCGCTGCCGGACCTGCTTTCTGCTTTCCTTGCACCAAGCATGACAGTCCTAGCCAGATGTCTCACGAAGGGAACTGAATCGATCAAGGTAGCCAAGATGCTGCTTTGTTCAGTCACTGTTGCTGGTTTTTGGGGTAAAGTGCATGGAAGGAAAAAAGAACTGCCACTGGCGATTCAGGTGGGTTGCCTCAAAGCGGATGTTCCAATCTGAAAAAAATGCCGAGCAAAGGGCAAGCGGAGCCCTGCCATCGCTAAGGCAGTTGTGATTTGAATCACCAAAGCGTCAAAAGGGGGTGATCTGTGGAAATATACGGATTAAGTTGGATATTTCCACACCCCGAAATATGTATCCTGTGCAACTGGGCAGTGGTCAGCCACCTTGCGCCATGTGGCATCGTTAGAACTCCCCTTTGCTTGGGCAGACGGAAAGCCTCCCCGTCAGCGGATCTATGCGGACCAACTGACTGGCCACCCCTGATTTGTCCATTCACCTGTTGGGGCAATGATTGTGTTGTAAAATAAATATTTGAATTTATATATTAATTAAATAGGATTTGCGTATTTATATATATATATATATTGATAGGTTGTCATTTGTGAGTTATGATTGTGGCCATCAGTTTCAACCAGCTTCGACGACGAAGACCTCGTGCTCGTCCGGGGGTTTCCTCCAATCCAGCTTGACACCTCGCCGCCTGTGGGGTGCCCCAGCTCCGTTTCCCTTTCTAGCCCCGGAAAAAAAAGGAAAAATGGAAAAACACATGCTGACCATGCTGGTGCCATAGGTAAAGGCAAAGTGGTTGAATGAACCCAACAAGTTCCCGAAGAATCGAAACCACCCGTTGGATGGTCCAAAAAAAAGAAGACGATCCGTCGCCCTCTTTGCTTCGAGTCCCCGGTCCCCGCACCAAGAATCACGAGGCTCGCGCCTGCAAGCTAAAGTGCCCCGGCACCCGCGCCACGTTCAGACGACCCTGAACCTGAAACGGGCTGACTCTCTGGAAAAAGGGCCCTGGGGTTCCTGGGGTTCCCCTAAAGAGAGAACTCCTCAAAGAGATTCACGCTGTCAGGAGTACCCTCAAAAGCAAAGGGCAGCTCCTTTCTGCTGATAGGGCATTTGTTTGAGAGTGTTTGTTGCAGGAGCCCTCTGCTGAAACATCATGTCATGAATGGACTTGTGACCAATGATCTCCACGCCGGCGGTGCAATCAGGAGGATCATCCGAGGTTCAGCTTTGGCCCGCTTTCTGGTTGAACATTCAGAAAAGCAACCTAGAAGTGGATATGTTTTTTCCTCTGGGTGGCCTTGATTTCCCTCCACATCGTCTGTACAAAAGGTCAATTGTTCTCTTGATCGTTCTCAAAAGCCAGCCATGCTCCCAAATGTGCCCATTCGCTGAAGAGACTCCCCTTCTTCGAAATCGAGGGCTAGAACAATCCGGGCAAACATACGCCTGAAAAGCAGGTGTGCAAAAAGCACTTAGGTGCGCAGATCTTTCGCAGAATGTAGCAGTTGATGCCTCGAATCCGCATCTTTCCTGGCCTTTCAAGACGGCTTCCCATCGTGGCCAAGTACGCTGGTCTCAGCAACGAATTCCGTTGCCACAACTTGCCGACTCTTTGCAGCCGCTAAGGGCACAACTTTGGTTTCAATAAGTTGGAAGCCTCCATCCTTCACCAAAAGGCGGCCAGTAATTCCTCACAAGTCGACTGGTGCCTTCCCCCCATCCCAGTCCCTCCTGACAGCCCTGGTCGAACATGGCGTGGTGCTTTGCCACCATCAAATGGCTGTTCCTGCGATTGAGACCCTCCCTCTTGGGTGTTGGACTTCCAGGGTTGGTCAAGCACCGATAAAACTTGTTCAGGTTTCTTTTCCCTTAAACCTTAGGGAGATCAGACACATGTTTTGCCTAACCCTTGCCCAACTTTGGCGGTTCCCCCTGGCACTCCAAACAATCCAGGGACCCTACAAACTCTCCGAAGGGCCTTTCCAGTTGAGTTGTTGTTGTTCTTTTGCTTGGGGGGGGAGGGGGTTGTAGGGTCTCTCAACAACCCTGGAAGATGGTTGCTCTGTCTGGTGGTTGGGTGCCATGCCCATGACTGCTGAATAACTCGGTATCGCAGAACGTGGCAACGTAAAACCACATTCTAGTTTCTGCAAAGAAAACCAAAGCTTCCCTCCAGAAACCCGAACAAATCTGGCCGTTGCCCCACACATCAAAGGGACCTCCTTTAAAGGGCCCGTTTTTGGGTTCCATGTTGGTTTGTAACATGTTGCCGACCCTCAGAAAAAGGCCCAAGGCCCAACAAGAAGTGGTCTTGCCTGCAGCATCTTGCTGGGCCTTACAACCATCCATTTGCTTGAGTTAGTTGCAGTAGTGATGGATTCCCTTCAAATAAACGATCTTCTCAATCGCAAACGCAAACAACAAGAATGCAAGGCCAACGAACAGTTTGTTCAGCTTGCGCACGGTCTACCTCGGCCAAAGGGCCCCCTAAAGACAACAGAAACAAACTAGTCCATAGTTGACTGGCCGAATAAAGCGTCAAATTATTTTCTTTACCACTCAACTTGTCCAACCCCAAAAATTGCCGAAAGTGTCCGAAACGGAACTCAGGGAGTGAGCTGGCGAACCTCAACTTGCACGTTTTTTTTTTTTTTTTAATGAGCGATCCCGGTTCTACCGCCGGTCGTTTTCTTTTTCGCGCACCTAACGGTGTGGGTGATGAAGTCGATGATGTTCTCAATCTCGGCGCGCCGCGAGTCGCGCGAGTCGCATCAGTCGCATGAGTCGCGAGTTGTTGCGAGTCGAGCCGCGCGCACAACACACGAAGACCCGCTAGTCTTACCCGGACGTGCAGTGTCGTGAGAAAAGCAGGACACTTGTTTCTGGTAGTTTACTCAAAGGGAACCCACTACAGATTTTGTTTGTTTAACTGAACAAATGACAAAGGATTTGCATCACTGGAGGTCTGGGTTTAGCTGTGTTCCTTGGTAGTGCTTCTTGCTACAGGTGCCGCCTTCCTTTCAGCTAAGGGCCCCGAATTTGCCCAAGCCCGTACTCCTTGCAGCACGGAACAAGAAGGTCGCAAAAAAAAACTTAAAATTCCTGGGTCCGCACAACCTCGAGCGCTTGGATCACTGACCTTCTTGTTTTACGTGCCAGCAACACAGCCAATGGCTCGTTTTCTTGCCCGCAGACGCCGACAAAGCCCGGAAGCAGTTGCCACTTGTTCAAACATGTTCGGATCACGCTCATTGAATCCCAAACAAACAACCAACAGAATACGCTGGCTCCATTTTTGGTGAACCAAAGGCAGAATCATTTCAACAGACCACTCACCATGTTTCTGATTAGCAACCACTGCAAACACAGCTCTCCGATAGCATCTCGATTGACAACGCCTCGCCTCGGATTCCTGTCTCGCGCGGACACGGGCTTTCCACTTGTGGAAATCGGGCCACTTCCGATGTTCAGAGCA